GAGAAGAAAGGCACAGCCAATGCCTTGGGCCTCTACCACAGTAGGGGATTTGTTAGGTAAAATGTCTAGGGGATGCTAAGGAGTGCACCATGCCCTGTGCTACAGAGGCAGGGAAACAGTGATCCTACAGGAAATTCTTCCCTATCCCCATATCTGGCAACCAGTTTGATCCTAAGTTCATAAGCAAGGCACCTGGAGGATATGCAGCATGCCTCAGGCAAACCTCCAACACTTCAGAGGAAGTTAGAAAACCCCAGCCATCAATCAATGCATTCATGTAGGAGGAGGGCAGCAAAGGGGCAACTAAATGGGAGATGAAATTCAGCAAAGGTAAGCGTAAAGTGATGCACATGGGCAAAAATAACCCAAACTACATCTACACGCTGATGGGCTCTACATGAGCCATTACCACACAGGAGAGATCTGGGAGTCATCCTGGGCAGTTCACTAAGAACATCAGCTCAGTGCTTAGAAACAGCAAACAAAAATAGTAGGGAGTATTAGGAAGAGAATTGTAAACTAAATGCAAAGTATCACTATACCCCTTTATAAATCCATGGTGTGCCCACAGCTTGAACACTCAGCCCTTTTTTAGTCCCCATGCCTCAAAAAGGGTATAGAAGAACTAGGGAAGGTCCACAGAAGAGCAAAAGGATAATGAGTGGTATGGAGGGGCTCCCATATGAGGAGCGACTAAAGAGGCCAGGCCTATTCAGGTGGGAAAAGAGACGCTGGAGGGGGGAACATAATGAGGGTTTACAAAATACTAAAAATGGTGACGAGAACGTAAATAGGGAGTCATTACTTATTATCCCTCTCAGTACAAGAACTAGGAGTCGTATCTAGTAGGCAGTACGTTTAAAAACTACCAAAAGGAAGTGCTCTCAAAGCATGTAATTAAAGTGTGGAACTCGTTGGCATCCGATGCAGCGGACGCTGACAGTGCAGCCAGATTCACAAAGGGCCTGGACACGTTCTTGGAGGAAAGAGGCATCAGTAGCTATTGAGCATGGGAGTTCAGGGAAAAGCCTCCGAATCAAAACTTCCTGGACTTTAAAAGCTGGAGGCTGCAAGTGGGAGAGGAATGGGGGGAAAACCCTGATCACATCCTGTTCGTTCTGCCTTTCAGCATCCAGTTTCTGCCAGTCTGGAGACTGGGCAAGACGGACCTATTGCCTGACCCTGTAAACAATAGTTCTTATGTCTTCCTGGCCCCTACAAGCGATCAGCAAAAGCCCTGAAGCATGTGAAGGAATACACCGCCCTATGGTGCAATGGGTATTGAGGGCACGCGAATACTTCCAGAGGAAGGAGAAGGGCCTTGTCAAGTACCACCCCGAAGCGACAAGCTCCTTGCCCCACTGCCTTGTTCAAGAAGCTGTCCCAAAACCTTGCTCCTCTGATGGTGGGAAGCCTCCTTTTCACTTCCAATGTAAATGCATCTGTGCCCAGTTTCTATTCAGCTGATCTTACATGGCTGCTGTCCCTTTAACTGTAGTCGCTCTTCCCTGGGATTCATCCCTGAATGCATTTATGGAGGGGTCACATCCCCTCTCACCCTCTGTTTCACTGGGATCAATGAGCCAAACTCGTTAAATCTCTTCTCTTGGGACAAGTTCTCCATTCCCCTCATCTCCCCATCAGGCACAAAGTCCTGTTTCAACTCATTTTGTGTTAATGCTGGTGATCAGAATGGCAGCAAGATGCTAAACGAGGCCTCCCCGGTGCCTGGCATTGTGGCATCAATGTTTCTAACTCTGCTTAGATTGCATTAGCCTCTCGTAGCTGCACCACAGGGATGGCACATGGTCATCCTGTGACTGACCGAGACACCCAGCACTTCCCTTCCTCTGTTGCTCCAGTGAGCCCCTGGATTTACAGCAAAAGTCCTGACTTCAGTCCCTGAGTGCAGACTGCATGTTGTACTACCCAACTCCGTAGCGTTGCTATCCCTCCAGTCTGCTGCTGAAGTATTCCTGCAAAATCACCCTGTCTTTGCCTTCCTCTGGCCTGTCATTGTGTAGTAAGGGGATGCAACGAAAATCTGGAACAGGATGGGGCTCAGGGTGGATATGAAGAGCTCTCTCTGCATAGAGCATGCCCCAAACTGACTAATTCCCTGCAGTTCCTTGCTACTGGAATTGCCCTTTCATGTGCCAGTTGTTTGGATAATCCCAGGGTTGGGATAACTGAGTCTCTCCATTTTATCCCAGTTGTGCTTTTCTCTCAGGTCTGCTAGTTGCCATTACCCTGTCCACACACTCCTATGACATTCCCTACAATTGCCTTCCTATGCATCCTCTTCCTTATTAGACATGCAAGTGTTCATGTAAGTATGTAGCATGTTGGGGTTATATCTAGATTATATCCCTAATCCCACTTTGAATGCCGGGTGGCACCACTTCTTCCCTCCTAATGCTCTATTCCTGTGCCTGAAAAGCCCTTTGCCGTCCATGTAAAGCAGGAGAGAGCCCTAATCCCTTAGCAAACAATGTGGACCCAGAGCAGAACACACTTCCCTTCAGCTCA